GCCTCGCGCACCCGGGAAGCGAAAGCGGAAGGTTCCTGCGCGCGGGGCGCGGGCAGTCCCCTCCGGGGGGCGGGGGGGCTCCGTTTGGTGCGTCGCTCCATTTCCGGCGGCTGAGCGGCTGCGGCGCCTGCAGCAAAGCGGGGGTGCTCTGCACTCACTCAGAGCCGCCCCTGAACCGAGTCGGGCGGGTCGCTTGCTGCGCCCGGCTGCACTTCCCTCGGGCGCAGGGGTTGCGCCAGCCCCGGCTGAAAAGTTTTCCCCCTGCGGTCGCAGGAGCAGGATGCGCGGCGAGGCGTGGGGCGCTCGTGCGTCACCGCCGAGAGCCGTTTGGTTGCGGCGGGAAGTAAATACAATGCAAGGTTAAAAAAGCGCTCCCATCCTGGCGGTCCGTCGGGCCTCCCTCGGCTCTCGGCCGCCTGTCCTCCCCGGCGGCGTTTGCCGTCCTGCCGCCTTGCATGCTCGGCGCTCCCTGGAACCTCTCTGCCCGGGTCCGCCCCAGACGCAGCAGACCCACTCCCCGCTTGCACACCCCTGCTGCGCCTACTGGTACGTCCCTTTGCGCCGTGTTCACCCGGCAGCGTGAACAACGACGCATCTTTGAGCGTAGGATGCCGTGCAAACTCAGCCTGTCGTTCCTTTGTGATTCAGTGCGCTTCTCTTAACCGCCAGACCCGGGTGGCTGAACGATCCCTGAGTCAGCCTGCTGGGCAAACGCAGCCTTTGTCTATGCAAATATAACGGTGGTCAAACACCTGAAAGAGCAAGAGAGTGAAGTTTGCATGTGGCTTCCAGACGCCTTCTCTGTCACACACACACACACACACGGCTCCCACCCTTCAGGCGGAAGTCTCTTAACACCTAGCTCTGTTCCCCGGCTTGGGGTTAAGGTGTTTGTGGAGCTCCTGTTCAGCCTTCTTTTTTAAAGTTTTATTGATGTGGTTTTGTCTGGATAGCCATGTTTCTTGAATCATGCATTTTAAATATTGTAAGCTACCCAAAGTCTTTTTTGGAGTTGGGCGGCCTCAAACTCCAGTGTATTATTTCCCCAGCAGTATCGTTGCAGAAATAACATCCAGCGAGAGGCCGATCAGGGCTTTGGCAGATGTGCAACTGTTCTGCCCCAGAGGGCAGCAGGTCTGAGGGAGGCTGCTGCAGGCGGAAAGCCAGTCTGCCGCTAGAAACCACCTCCTGCGTTTTCCAAGCAGCTCTGGTGCAGCACAGCCAGCGTGCTGAAAGTTGACCGTTCAAGCACCAACGTCTCCGGGTCAATCTCAGTGTGTTGGGGGTGCGCCTAGGTGCCTTTGTTGTTGTTCAGTCGTAAGTCGTGTCCGACTCTTCGTGACCCCATGAACCATATTGCGCCAGGCCTTCCTGTCCTTCACTGCCCCCCTGGGTTTGCTCAGTTTCATGCACATT